ACAAATGGCTTAGTTAGTCACGTAATGAATTTTATCAAACATTCAATAAAGACTTATAAAAAGGAAAGAATCGCTAAAGCAACTAATGATGATAATGGGAAAAATGAAAGTGGTAAAGGTGAAGGTGTTTTCGATGGTGCTACACATACTTCAACTGTTAGTATAGCTTAAAGCTAGTTAACATTTTAAAGGGATAACCAATATCTGATCTTATTTTTTTTTGTATTTATTTTTGTTCTTATTGTACTTGAAAGTTTTTTCTTCATTTGATTTTCATCTTCAACTTTCAACATTACTGTCTAAATATACCGGTGCAGAAATTTACTCCAATAAAAAAAATCATAAAAAAGTTTATTCTACCATGCCGATTTTTTTAAAATAAAGAAAAGATAACAATACATAAATACTACTAAACGCAAGAAAAAAAATTGCTGAGATTCATTTAAATACGAATTCAGATGATAATCTATTTTCAATTTCATCTATATTTACTCCTTAAATGATTAATCTATCACCATTATTTCCTATTCAAAATGAAGATGACTTTGTGCGTGTTTTGATATACTAATTATCTCTTTTTTCCTTCGACAGGTTTTTCTTTTGTCAAATTTCAATGATTTCTTTTTTTTTACAGCAAATATCCTTGAGGGTGTTGGTTAGGGGTGGGATGACAGTGATCGATAGCGTGAGTCTCTTGGTCTGTCACATTCGCACCAACACCCACACCCACACGCAGCCACACACCCTGAAGTGGAATCACTTCAAGTAGCGTGAGGGTGTGGGTGTGGGTGTGAATGTAGTTGTGGGTGGGAATGGATGAAAGAATAGAACTGGGTACAAGTAGGTGAAATAAGGTAGGAGTGGGTAGCACTTAGTGGAATAGGGTAAGAGCAAGGGTGTGGCTGAGGATTAAGAGAAGATAAATACCTACACCTACATCTATACCCACACCCACACCTATCCACACCCACACCCTCAAGATGATTGTTGACAATAAGAACAATATTC